TTGCTGCAGACTTGGAGACAAAGTATATGTGCAATGCCATTCCATATTTAGGAAAGGACCCTAGTCGTCCCAAAGGAGAAAGACTGTCTGAGAATGTTGTCATAAAACTCATGGAACCATTTCTGGGCAAGGGAAGAACTGTCACTATGGACAACTTCTTCACATCAATGTCACTGGCTAATAGGCTGCTGAACCACAACACAACTCTGCTTGGCACTATCAACAAAATTAGACGAGAGATTCCCCCTCCAGCAAAACATAACAAGGGCCGGGTAGTAGCAGATTGTGATCTGCTACTACCACTGAGTGTTGTACTCCAAACACAATTTCATTGCCTTTGACAATGACAATAAACTCTTGAATCCTATTTTCTTTTGAATTTGGCTCAGTCAAAGTGAAACAGGAAATGACATCAAAGGGGAACTCTTTAATAAAATAAACTCTCTGGTTTTTGTTTATTAAAACAATATTATTTAAACTTTATCTCTTCTTCATCTCTCTTTGACAGCAACTCAAAATAATCTAAAGAAACACAGGGCTCTAGACTAACTTTATGCACTGGTTGCACTGGTGCGCCTAACATTTTTCCTTAGGCTCCTTAAGTTTAAAAACATGAAAAAAGTGAGTTTTGCATAGGTGCCCTTTAATGGTTCACTTTTTTWAAATCATTGTCCATTAAGGCTATATTAACTCACAAATAATTTGTTAAGAATCTGGAAAAAATAAAGTTCTGTATTTGAACCAGAATCGTAGACATATAACTGACTGAAAAGTAATTTTAAAGTGAATCTATGACCTGAAATTTTAACTTAAACATGAAGATAAATGAAATGAAAGAAATTCTAAATGCTAAGTGCAAATATTTAAGTGTTGAGCATTTTATAAACATCTTGAACACGTCATGGTTTTTTGTCTTTTAAACTACACCTGCCCCTCAGATGGACAACTCCTGGAGTTTGGCCTTCAGGATCTTTGACCTTGGATAAACCAGAATGAAGAACAGAGAATTATGATTAACAGCAGAAATATTACTAATATTTATTAAATGAGAAAAAGATTTTTAAAATAATGAAAATAACATAACATGAAAAAGTTTTACATTTAATTTGTATTAGTTGAATTGTACGAATCTCTCACTAAACTAAGCTGTGTAGTCATAAAACCATTTTCAGAACCTGAAACATAACTGTAGTGAAGCTGATTATATGTAAAAGCAGTGCGACCAGTAATATTTTGAAGGCGAACTWTTACAAAATAAGGTCACATTTGCGACCACATTAGTCYCACTCTAGAGCCCTGTGTAGTCTGTGTTGTTAGCTGTTGTAACAACGCTCTGTTTACATTCAGACATTCCTCTTTGACATCACTTCCTGTTTCATCACATGCAAATATCGTAGGGCTGGGCGATCCTTCTCACTCTTGCAGTAGGAAATATGAAATATTTTCTCTCTGGATGTTTTTTTATGCAAGAAGTGCAGTCCTTTGCAGCAACTTTTCACTATTTCTCTTATTTTCCCCACAAAGAAACACCTCTTTTCCTCCAAATCAGTACATCAGCCTCTGTCTATCACATGACCATGTGTCCAAGTACCAAACTGTTCGAGAATACAGCTTGACAAGGCCCATCTGAACCAGGGAGGTACTGCTGTGAGGTTTCACTGCTAACCACTCAACCATAGTGCTGACAGCAGGACGATCAGTCACACTTAGTAGTGATGTGCAGATCGATACCGAAATATTGATTATTATCGATACCAGAACTTTGTGTTCTGGAATCGATACTAAAATCAAAGTATCGATACTTTGATACTTTAGTTATTTCACATAATGTATATCATTAATAGGAAAATAGTGGAAAATAACTAAACTATTCAAATCTTGTCTTAAACATGTGGTTGGAGGGAACTACTTTTTCTTCCGCTTGGTTAATGCATCAGCACAGTGGCACATGCTCCGTTAGTCACTCAGTC